AACTAATTATGGAACGAGTAACATTCATTAATCAGATATTCAGATTTCCATTTAAGTGGATCCCAGACAATGCAAATGTAAGCTACCAATTATGGAACTAGTAACATTCAATGAAACAAACTGGGCACAATGATAGTCCATCTTACATGAAGAACTCCATTCACGTCAAACAATAAACATAAAACTAAACACTTACATTTGGTTTCATGAACAGTTGGAAAAATTTAGAAGGACAGTCCAGATATTTCCCAACTTAAATATAAACACCACACAACTGTAATTCTAGAACAGAATCCTGTCAGTACAAAATTGACAGATTTCTCTTCTACTATAAAATTCTTTGGTTAATTATTGCTATGGACAATCCTCAGTGGAAAAAAAATCAGAGAGCACAGCAAGTCTCCATCTTTTCTCCTTTATGTGAAAGAAAAGAAACATAAAAATCTACTGTGCAGCAACTCGCAGAAAATAGTGGATCTATTTTCGAAATCATATGCACCACAAAAGACATTTCAATAGCAGCAAATAATATTATTCTCGAACTACATGTGACAAAGCAAACCTATAGCATTAGTCTCACCAAATGGATAACAAAAGTGTGATCTCAAAGCACACAGCCACATGCAATTTTGCAGCTGCAGTACTTGTCTCCACATCAGCAACCCGATCCCCAAATTCGAAGCAGAGCAAGGTGTGCAATAAGGCAGGAGTGGAAGAGAAGAGACAAAGATAACAACACATAAAAAAACCCGCTCACCTCCGAACGGTGTGGTCGGCTCCGGCGCTAAACCCCGAGGAGTCGTCGTGGAAGCAGCAGTCGAGGACGGCCCCGGGGTGCACGAACTCCCCCTTGAGCACGTTGGCGTCGGCGTCGTAGAGCCGCACCGTCTGCAAGCCCAGACCAAACCAAACCAGGTCAGATCAGCGGGATCAAAGAGGTAGCTAGGGTTTAATAACGAGCGGGAGAACGGGAGAGGGGGCGGCTGACCACCACTGACCGACCTTGTCCCATGAGGACACGAGGAGGTTGTTGCTGTGGTTGGAGAAGCGGAGGTTGGAGATCCCGTCGGCGGGCGGGTTGGCAAGCTCCTTGCCGCTGCCGACGGCAGCTGGCGCGGCGGCGGAGCTCATGGTGCGCAGTGGCAGAGGCGGAGGATGGATCTGACTAGGGTTCGGGGCGGAGGAGGTGGTTCGAAATTTGAACGCGCAACGAGCGAGGCGAGCACGAGGGAGGACGATGGGTGGGCAGCGGACGGTTTAATTAAAGAAACGGAAATGCTTGGGGAAATCTTTCTGGATTCGAATTTTGAACCACGGCCACGGGAAGCGGAGTGGGGAGTTGGAGTTGGAGTGGCTGGGGAGGGAGATGATGAGGCGAGAAGATTCCACGGAGTGGGCCGAGACGGCAACTGAGCGGCTGAGAGCAACTCAACTGCAACTTTTATTACTTAGCTATTTTCCTGAGAAGAGCTCCACAACAACCTTGTTGGCCTGTCAGCGAGTGTCCGCTTGAGCCCGCCCCATGCATTTCTATTTTACAAAATCGAACATTTTTTCCTTTCTAAAATAGTTTTGGCATTTTTTGTTTCAGAGCAATTTGGTGAATATTTTCCTTTCGCATTTTTGTTTCCGCCTCTTCTTCTATTGCCACAGCGTTGATTTTTTTTTTTTTGAAAGGGAACAGCGTTGACTTCAGGGCGCCACGACACCATGATGATTGATGAGATATTGGGATTTCTGAAGATGTGGCAGTCAAATAGGTTCACTGGAGACCTCAACTCGTCCAAGCTAATTTTTAACCCGCTAACAATTAATTTTCAGCCTATGTTCTCTCTTCCGGTCCATGCTTGCTAGTTCATTAATTTTTCTCTGATTTTAACACGCCCTTCCGCTAACAATTCAACGTTGTAATTAATTTCATACTAAGATTTTTCTGTCATTTTATAATATTGGTTGCATATCCATGATGCGTTCAATGAGCTTGCTTGATTTCTTTCATATGCAGTTTTTTTTATTCTCTTGTGTATGAATTTGTATTTGATCTATTGTTCGACCTGAATAATTTTGCTAAGCATCTCTCTAGGAGTATAGCTCATTGTTCCACAAGTTTAAAGGCTTTGTTCCATGTGTGCAATTTTCAGTTACTAGCCTTTTTTATTTAAGATTAAAATAATCCACCTAAAGGAAAAGTTGTGCGTCGTGGGGGCATGGAAAAGGGAGTGTGCACCAAAATCAGCCAAAAATACACGTTTATCAGTGTCATAGGGAAAAGCATGTGTTATTTGATAGTCATTTCTAAACACCACCCAACTACTCCCTCTTTTATAAGGCATAGTTTAACGGGACACAATCTTCTAAATTACATTTTGATCATTTAATTATTTATATTATATTAATTATACTTATAAACTTATGATAACTAGATAGTATTTAATTACAAATCTAACAATATCAAGTTTGTATTATAATAATAAAATTACTAGCCAATTTATTGCTCAAATATTTTAAAGTTTGAATCTAATATGAGTGTCTCTATAAAAGAGAATGAATGGAGTAAACTTTAGGTGACTAAACTTTAATTCGGAACTTTAGTCAACTAAATTTTATTTTAGATGATCCAAACAGACTACCTAAAGTTTAGTCCTACGCATCCAAAGGTGGACCTAACTCCAACCCAACTAGTTGTTAGTCCCTGTAAAGTTTAGCCCTATGTCATCCAAAGATAGACCTCAAGTCCAAACCAACTAGATATCAGTCCCTCTGAAGAGGGAATGGCAAAAGAACTTGATAAGCAAAATGGCAATGTTGGCTTCCACATCTGGCCTAGGGAGCAGAGGGTGTAGCTAGGATTTAGAGAAATGGTGGTCCATCTTGATATAATAAGCTACGATAGGGTTTCAATATGTAATTTTTATGATATTGGATAGCACATCATTATAGTTCTAATATTAGCCAAATCATAGGGTTTTCCATGACCAGACGTGCCACCTAGCTAGCTCTGCCTATGGAGGCCAGGTAGCAATGCGGGACGCAGACAGAACAAATCGTACGTCTGGGATCAATTACCTGAGCCAGGCAGTTTCTCATACAAACAGCACCCCCAATATGTCGCGTAGTATATGCTTCGTGCCTCCATGTAAAAACATCAGGCACCTCTTAAAGCTGAAGTTCTAGCACATGAAAATGGAGCGCCTCATGTGTTGCGTGTGCCTTCATTTGACGTCTCCCATAGTCCCATGTGGCTCGCGTCTCTTATGCGAAGGGAACCACGTAGTACGGCGGGCATCCTGGTCTGTTTGCTTGATCCTGAACAAGAAAAACTTGGATTCACGTTCACATAAATGGCTGAATTGTTCACAGAACAACTCTTCTGCAGAGTGGATCGAGACCTCTATGTTATTCACAAACAACATATTCCACAAAACAACTCTTCTGAAGCATCCATGAGCCAAATAGAATTGTAGAACTGTGGTTGAGTAAACACAAGAGCAAACACAAGAGCCTCCTTTGCGGATAAGAAATACTTCATACTAGACAGGGCATATGACCCTTTCTACAAAACTGAATATTTCGAGCAAACAATATCAGACATGACGTTGTACAAGTGTTCCTCAGTATGAAGTTGTATTGTGATATCCATCAGTACCCAGCAATACACTGCATCATTGCATCAATACCGTAGTAATATAGGCCACTATCTGGTAACAGTTCGACTATACAGAACTCCAGGCAGCTGGGTAGGTTCTATCTGTGTTGCTCCTAAGATATTCTGTTTCCTCTCCTACGCAGATTGCAGAAATAATTTTGAAAGTTAATAGTCTAATTTCACCGTCATAAAATATGATAGAAAGAAGTATATGCTCACATTATGACAGTACAATGCAAGCAAATAATCAGAGCCGGGAGAAGCCCCAAATATACAGTTCCTCCCCTTCGAGGTTCATTTCCGGCGGAGATATTTTCCACTGCTACAGTGCTATACAGTACTGAACAGCACTCAATAGTGATTGGAAGCACCTGGGAGCGCAGCCAAACAGGACCTAATTGTTAATTTGTTATTGATGATCATTACGGAAGATGGCTACCTAAGTGACAGTAATCCTGATCTTTTGGTTCAATAAATCCTCAAGGTGTGGAATAACACTACCATACAAACGAACCTCTGAATAAAATTAGACAAATTATATGCAGAAGGCAAGGCCGTGCAAAAGGTGAAAAGCTTACCTTTTCGGTGGTTGACACATTTTCAGTACGATCAATTTTGATGTCAAAGATACGTGCAGAAAATCATTGTCCTGCACATACAAAGAGAAGCTTTAACACTATTACACTAATATACAACATTTCACAGATAAATCAATATGTGCATGATTCTGCTTATATTAACCTGTGCATGCTTCAGGAGTCCTCACCCAAGAAACTACCTCATATATAGTTCAACTAAGCAATGAACAAATCTCAGAAAATTTACAAATTTGGAGCACAGCAGTTCACAAAATCAATGCAAGAAACAAGCGCGTGTATTAATTCACGCCATCATGTAACTCTTAAAATGCCATTCTTGCCTGAAATGCTAAGTGATTCTTCAGGGCACTCACTACTCTGGAGAAAGAGAATTCAGATCTGATCTAGTCTAAGTCTTGTTGGAACAAGTCTCTCTGATCAGTAAGATATTTCTTGTCCGCGCCTCTGCCCCCAAACTTCATAGAGACATTGTAGACTAGACCAGATCAGTAACGGAGGGTGAAATCAGGGGGAGGGGTAATGTACCTCTGAAAGTTTAGTAACTCATATGTCACTGCAACATAACAAAATGAAAAAAGAAGGAAAAGGTCAGATAGAAAGCTATGATCAAAAGAACATAAAGCAGGATCGTTGTTTGTTACCACTTCCTAACTAGCAGAAGAACACATCGAAGAAACCAAAGCCAATAGGGAAGGGCCAAGAGAAAAGGGACCGAGATGCCTTTGCCCTTTGGGAGGTGACACTGGCAATTTCCTCTATGCCCTGTCAATCCAACTGCAGCCGGCGTTCTTTGAGATTCTTCTGTCATGCATCATACTCCTAATCTCTGCTGATTTGTCCCAATCCCCATGAGCTGCGAGTGTGCTCGACAGCTGCACATACAAACTAGAATGCGGTGACAGTCCTGTTTCCACCAGTTTGTTTGCAACCTTGTGCAACAGAGCCTCATGGCCCTGGGCTTTGCATCCTCCAATAAAAGAAGTCCAACTAATTGCATCAGCTTTGAAAGGCATGTTCTCTATGAACTCAACTGCTTCTTCCAGTCGACCTGCTCGGACCAACAGGTCAGTCACACACGCATAATGCTCAGCTGATGGACTCACACCAAAATCTTCCTTCATCCGGTAAAACCATCTCAGTCCCTCTTCCACAAGCCCAGAATGGCAGCATGCAGAAAGGACACCAACAAATGTCCGTTCACTTGGCTTCAGACCCCTACTTTGCATTAAATTTAGAAGTTTCAGTGCCTCAAGTCCATACCCGTTAGAAGCATAACCTATAAGCATTGAGTTCCACAAGACTTCGTCTGGATTATCAATCCCATCGAAGATCCTGCATCCATTGGCCAAGTTGCCACATTTGCAGTACAGGTCAATGAGCGAGGAGGCTACAATATGGTCAGACTGCAGGCCAAGTGCAGTAGCAAGACCAAAAATTTGCTCCCCGAAACTTATAGAGCAGATACTGCCTGATGCACTCAGAACACTGGATATAGCTACATTGTCAAGCTGCAAACCAAGCCGATGCATCTCATAGAACAGCTCCATTGCATCAAGAGCATGCCCATTTTGGCTGAACCCAACAATCATAGAATTCCATGAGATGATACTCTTGCTAGGGATCATATCAAAAACTCTTCTAGCCTCATCTATTTGGCCACAGTTTGAGTATACAGTGATCATTGAGTTGAGCACAATGGTGTCCTGATGCCTAAGTTCACTGAAAGCTTGGCAGGCATCTGCCCAGAGGCTGCATTTCGAGTAGAAATCAATGAGAGCACTTGCTGCTATCAAGTCATTGATAGCCCCACTCTTTAAAGCACAAGCATGCATCTGCTGCCCAGGCTTCAACATGCCTAAAAAGCCACACGTATTCAGAACAATGGCATAAATTGAAGAGTTAGGCAACATGTCTGACCGCAACATCCTTACAAAAAGAACAAAAGCACTGTCTCCATGATAGGCAGGGACACAGCCACTGATAAGAGAACTCCATAGAGCAATGCTGGGGTTCTCCACCTTGTCGAAAAGACATAACGCCTTGTGCAACTGTCCATAAGATGTGTATCCATAGACAAGTGCAGACAGTGAAATTTCATCGACATGTTTCAACCTATCAAGAACGTGGTGAGCGGAGTCCAAATCCCCACACTTGCAATACATGTCAATCAATGCGCAAGCCAATACCGAATCGATTTCGGTCTTGGCAACCACCAACCGGGCGTGAGCTTGCCTCCCAATCTCATACTTCATCCGATCAGCACAGGCGCCAACCACTGTGGTAAGCACGAAGGGGTCATTCCATGGCGGGATCACATCAGGATTGCACTGCGAACCTATCCTCTTGAGCAGAGAAAATGCCTCATCGACTCGGCCACAGCGGACAAACCTATGCAAGACAGCGTGGCAAGCCACAGCATCCTTCACGGGCATTTCTTCTAGCAACTCGCTCGCAGTGTCAAGATCCCCAACACCAGCCAAGCCAGTTATCACCGCATTCCAGGAGAAGGTGTTCCTGTCAGGCATGGAGCGGAACACGCGGAGCGCCGCACCGTGGTCTCCGGACTTGAAGAGGGCGGTGATGACGGAGTTATAGGAGAAGTAGTTCTTCGTGGGCATTTCGTCGAACAGGCGGTGGGCGTCGCGGGAGTGGAGCGGAGAGCCGCGCACGTACATGAGGAGGACGGCGTTGGTGGGTGGGAGGGAGGATGGGACGTGGCCGGATTTGAGGAGGAGCTGGTGGAGCTGCCGGCCGGCGGCCGCGCCGCAGGAGCGGAGGAGCTGGATGCAGGAGGGGACGTCGACGGCGACGGCCATGATAGGCGACTCTTAACTTGGGGAGAGGACGGGCATTACCTGCCCGCGCCTCGAACGTGCTGGCCGCCGCCGTGTCCTGCGCCGCTTGACTCGCCTCGCGCACAGCCCCGCTGGACAGGACAGCTCCTCGCCGTCGCAGCCTCGCACGTGATCTCCCCCGCCACCGCGTCCCGCGCCGCTCGACTGATTGCTAGGTTTATCTACGGGAGGGGGAATTTGGATGCGGCCGTCGGAGGCCGCCAGGCCGTTTTTGGTGACGCGGCGGCCCACGGCAGGCGGAGAATAGCGGCGAGACAGGCGGCGGCTGCGGCGCGAGCGCGGGACGCGCAGCCTGATATGATGTACGGCCGCGATGGACGCTGAGGAAGCAAGTAACGGGCAGGATTGTCAGCTTGTCGCCTATAGTTACCCTGCAGAAAAAACAGGCAGCTCCTCGTTCCATTCCTTTTGCTCGGACGGTTGCGTGCGGACGGACGGTTGCGTGCGTGTGGATGCCGTCGCTCGGCCGCATGTACCAGCAGTAGTATCGTGACGCGATTATTTATTCTTTTTTTTTGGTGTGAGAGTTTTGAAAATTTACGATCGTTCAACATACCCGATACAAAGTTTTTTTTTAGAGTTTTGGATCGATACTATGATTTTTTAAAATACCTAGGTATCTAAAAGAAAGAAGGTGTTTGATGTAATTAGTTTGGAGTTCTAGAAACTACGGTATTAATAAAACCACAATTTTTTTAGTCTAAAAAACTTAGTCCCAACCCCCTTTATTTTTGACACAGCTTGGTGACGCGCATCCATCTCTGATGGCGTGTCTCTTTTTCACTGCTATTTTTAGAGATACATGCTATTTTTAACAGTATAGACACAACCAACTAATTTTAAAAGCAACGTATGGATGTGTAGCCAAACACGTCATGGCTTTTCTTAAACAGAGAAACACTGCGATTTCTAAATACTATGGTATTACATGCCTACGATTTTTAAAACTATGATTTTGTAATACTAGAGTTTTAAGAAACAGCAACACCCAAACAAGGCCGTAGTCTGTTTTTCTGCACATCGTTTCACGCGTCCACATGGGCCTATGGCGTCTCAAACGTCATCAGCATTGAGAAAGAGGGGAGGAGGTGGTGGATGCCCAGCCGGCTGGGATGAGGAAGAACCACCGAGGCACGAGCAGCAGAAAAATGAGGAGATATGCAACACCCAATTTATTTTTAAAACATCCAAATACAACGCTTGCAACATACGTATGAAGGCAGATGAAACACTTCAAACATACATCTGAAACACTTACAAAAACACCAAAAACACTTGAAAACCATGGAAAACATACACAACGTCCAGATAAAACTTGCAACATATGTGTGAAACATTTGCAATATCCAAATAAACACACTTGCAACATAGTCTGGGAAAACAGATGAAACATTGAGAACAAAAGCTTGCAATATACATATACAACCATTGCAACCTATGCAACATCCCAATCGACTTTTGTAAACATCCACATGAGACACTTGCAACATCCAGATAAAACATCTGAAACACTTGAAACATACCCTTGCAATATGCGCTTTCAGCGTGCAATGTCACCTTGCTGCTTGGACGAATCGCAGAGCTCGACGCCGGCGTGGAGGTCGGCGACGGCGCATGGAGCTCAACGATGGGCCCCTGGGTGAGGACCTACTCGGTAGCTTGGGTGAGCACCTTCTCGGTGCCTGGGTGAGCACCTGCGCGAGGCGCGCGAGCACCCCTGGGCGAGCAGGTGCGGCCTGGGCCAATGCACCATTGGCGAGCACCTGCTCGGTGGCTAAGAGAGCAGCGGAGGCGACCGCGGCGGGCAAATGTTGCGGTGCAGGCGAGTGGCACAGTGGAGCGCGGAGTGGGGAAGGCGGTCGGGGCGGCGCGGTGGAGTCAGGCGTGGAGGTCCGATGGAGCAGTGGATAAGGCTGCGACGATGAAGGCCGAGCGTGTAGAGAGTTGTTTTAAAAGGGGTGCGGAAGGAGCGAGCGGACGGACAAGGCAGCCAGTGGAGAAGCCACGTCCATCCGTCCCCGAACGCCCGTACGATAGCATTACCGTTTTCCTTGTGTGCCGCTTGACAAAAGTAAACTGCTCTGCTCATGAAGCTCCATCCATTTGCTTCACGTGCCTCATCTCCATGGAAAAGAACCCATAATCCCACCTTTAGCGGTTCTAAGCAGGGGTAAACAGTGGCGGATGCATGATGCGGGATAAGGGGGGGCTAAAACAATGGAGATGTTGATTTGCATGAAGATTTAACGGTGAAATCAAGCTTTTGTTACAGTGATTAGGCTTGAAATCAAGACATTAGGGGGGCTGGAGCCCCCCCAGCCCCCACTTTGGATCCGCCACTGGGGGTAAAGCTAGAGCAATTTCAATGAAGTGCGCTTGTTTTGTGAATACAAATATTTATGATGCATGAGTGTAAATATGGTGAAAATTTAGCTTTTATCACTTATTTTCATTTTTAGCACGTGCACGACCGCATCCACTGCGGTGCATGTAGCTCCGCCCCTGGTTCTAAGCAAGTGCCATTGTCTATATATGTGTTTGGTTGATTTATGAATTGAAGCCAAACAATCAACGCATGAAACTAGCTAGCTAGTACCAAAGCCAATGTGCGTTTTGATATAGGTCTAATTCTATTTGATATAGATTTTTTTAGCAAGCAATCACGCCTGTATTAAATTGAAAACTTCATATAACTAGCTATTTTAAGGGTGTCTATATTAAGGAGCTAGCACTTTCGGTGGGATGAAGCTATTATGTTATTATGTTTCCCACCTCTTTAGTTTCTTATTTTAAGAACATCTCCAAGAGTCCTTTTTAAACTAACTCTCTATAAATCATCATTTAGAGCATCTCCAAGTGTCTTTTTTATACCCACTTTCTAAATCATCATTTAGAACATCTTCAAGAGTTTTTTTAAAACTCACTTTCCAAAGCATCATTTGGAAAGCTATTTGAATAAAAATGGTTCTCTATATCTTTTCACCCTTCAACAACTTTTCTATATCTTGTGCACACTCTAAAGAGTCATCTCTACTCTCTATTTTTAACTAGTGAGAAATTAAGAATAAAGGACGGTAATATTTAGAGATGCAATTAGAAAAACGGTTGAAGAGTATTTCTTTAACCAAAATCTCTATTCCTATCGATTAAGAAGAATATAAGAGTTTTTTGGAGTTCCTCTTAAAGAGCCAATTGATTAAAAATTGTTCTCTTTGTGTTTTTTCATCCTCCAACAATATTTCTATATTTTGTGCATAATCTAGAGTCATTTGCGCTCTTCATCTTTTGCTAGCGAGAAATTCGAAATAGATTATGATAATGTTTGGAGAGCTAATTAAAAAAAATGTTGGAGGGTATTTTTCTACCAAAATTTCTATTCCTATCAATTAGGAAAGATATAAAGATGCTTTTGAAGTTGCTCTGAGGCGTCTATCTAGGAGCTAGCATTTTTAGTGGAACGAAGCTACTGTACGCACATGTATGACAAAAGTGTGAAAGCCATTGCACGTTTAAAAAATGGGTCAATTTTTATTTATACTTTGTTTTTTTTTCATAGCACAGATCACCTGTATCGCATTGAAAACAGCATACCTAGCTATTTTAAGGATGTCTATTAAAGAGCTACCACTTTTGGTGGGATGCCAATAAAAGGAGTTGATCCAAAATTAGCCTGGCCTCTGCTTGATTTCTCTGGTGTCATGCTTATATTGATTAAAACATCGGGAGAGAGCAGTGAACAATAAGGAGATTATTGATTATCCAATAGGATCGTCCAAGAAATGAGCAACCTATCGTCGTCGCACCTGACCAGCCTGCAAGTGCCCCGCCGCGGGGCCGCCGTCGCCGCCGGTGACGCGGTGGACCCCTACGACGTCCCGCAGCCGCAGACTGCCACCTGCTGCACGGCGCTGCAGCGTGGCGTGGCTTCCGACGGCCTCGCGCAGCCGCGGTACGCGCCGCTGCGGACGCTAGCAACCGTCGACGACGAAGAAGCAGAGGATGGCGAGGATGATTCCAATAGCGGCAAGGACGACAAGGACGACGACGGCGCCACCGCGACCACGATGAGGAGCGACAGCAATAGCAGCAGCCGCAGCGGCAGGAGTAACAAGAAGATGGTGCGCAAGTGCAAGTCGACGGTGGATGAGTTGAAGGTGTCGCAGCTCATCCAGGGCCCGCGGCTCCGGCGCAGCGTCGGCATGCGCCGGGATTGGAGCTTCGAGAACCTCGGCAACGCCGCCTAGCAGCTAAGCTAGAAGCACGATCGCTCCCACAAAGGCGAGGTTTCCATTCCATGGCTACACTACACTCCATGTAGATCCGAATCCGATCCGGCCGGCATGGCCCCGTCCAGCAGCTCTATTTCTGCATACTACTATACTTTACGGTGCTACAGTACGCGTCTGTAAATACATACATTCGTGTGTACATGCTGCCGCAAAATTCTACCTCCAAGGATCTAATGTTGCGCAATTAGTAACATCTATCCGAAATGTATACGTGTGTATATATTGTTGATGTGTATGACCGTTGGAAAAAACATGCAATTATATAGGATAGTACTGAGTCAAACGATCTTGAGTTTTGGCAAATTTATCAAAAAGTTATCAATATTTATTGTATCAAATAACTACATTTTCATAATGCACTTATATGATGGAATAAATATTCATGTTATTTTTCACAAATTGGGTCAAATTTTACATAGTTTTACTAAAGATATAACGTACTAGAATTGCATAATTTTGCGGGTGGAGATATCACTAATATCCCCGCATCAAAGCAAGTTGTCATATTCACTACGGGAGAGACAAAATTCTCCAAGTGTCGCAGGCTTCCCCGAGTGCCAAAAATCGGGCACTTGCCAAAGCCAACCTTCCCCGAGTGTTGCACTCGGGGAAGAGCGGCACTCGGCAAAGAAAAATGTTACTTGACCGCCCAGCCCGCCCACGCCGTTAAAACTAAAAAAAAAATTGCTTTGCCGAGTATCACACCCTGGCACTCGGCAAAGAGGCTGGCTTCCCCGAGTGCCCTGTCATGGCACTCGGCAAAGGGCCAGGGAAGGCACTCGGGGAAGAAAATTTTAAAATTTGAATTTTTCAAAAGACCTTGGATGGAAAAACTTCCTAAATAAAAATTATAGATCTCCAAAAGTTATGAAACTATGTAGTTGACAACTTTTTGATTTGAAATCATCTTATCATGCAAAACTACGTTTGAATCTCTCAAATTTGAAATTCGAATTTTTCAAACGACCTCGGATGAAAAAACTTCCTAAATGAAAATTGTACATCTCGAAAAGTTATGAAACTTTGTAGTTTACCACGTTTTGATTTGAATTCGTTTAGGGCCTCAAACAAGTAATTTACTCTCGATTTAGTATAATATACGAGGATAGATAACCGAATCTAGACACAAGTGACAGTGTAGTGCAGTGGTAGAGCAGCAGACACGTGAGGGAGAGGTCGTGAGTTCGAATCCTGCCGGCCGCGTTAGCCGCGAATTTTGCGCAAAAAATGCAGCGATTTCAATGGAGGCGGGCGTGCACTGACCGGTGGCGGCCTCCCCCAAATTTTTTTTGGGTTTTTTGCTATTATTTTCGGGTTTTTTCGCATTTTTATTTTGCCGAGTGTAAATCTTCTCTGAGTGTTGCACTTAGGGAAGAAAAGAAAAAAAACGGCGTCGCCGTCGACCAACGGCGTCAAATCTTTCCCGAGTGCCAGCACGGCACTCGGCAAAGCCTTCCCCAAGTGCACGATTTTCAGCACTCGGAAAAGACGCCTTTGCCGGATGAGGATTAGCCGGAGAGTCTTCCCCGAGTGTTGCACTCGGGGAAGGCTTCCCCAAGTGCAACTGGCACTCGGGGAAGCCACTGGCTGCTGTAGTGATTATAGCAGTGAGCAAGATTTGTTAGGATCAAGATTCTAGGTAGAATCAGTTTTCCCTAATCGTATCAAACCATCATATTAATATTCTATCGGATTTTATAGACATATACTGTACATAAGATTTATAATATGCTGTAAGTATTTAAGCCTATTTTGATTTATTTAATTGACCATTATTACATTCAAGTGCAATTCTTCTTGTTATTCAATGTTTCTTGTCTTGAAATAGTATTTTATATAACAGATTCATTTAAAAATTAATCATTCTATAGTATCGACATGACCGTACGCCTTTATATGGGATGTGGATACTTTAAAATTTAGGATACATGATAGGATCAATAGTATTAGATTCTAGAATACATATTAAGATACTTTCAACTCGATAGGATCGATGTCTTCCAATTCCTGGGAGGTAACAACTTATCCTTACCCTCTGGATCAAACTAAATAGATGGTCCATATTAACTTTGAGGTACTGTATAAATTGCCATGAAACACTAAAGCAATTCCTGCCATGAAAGAGACACGAGAGCAATTTCAGGACTCCCTCGTGACATTCACCATCTCCAATATAACCCATGCCATTGATGACAGCTCAGTTCCAATCCATTGGAGTTTAGTGAGGTCAAAGTGTCAAACACACTATTAGGATTATGATTTCATCTTCTGCAATGAGTTATCTTGCTGCAGATACTACCCCAAGCGCAAATGACAACCCACCAATGTTGACGCTACCTCAAGCACCAACAAGCCGCTGACATCCTCCTTTGTGCCGCCCATGTCTTCCACGACAATGGGCATCCTCCACGGCTTTGTCGACCTCTGCATCATCACCAAATGCAGCCATCACCAACCATGTGGAAACTACTGAGTTCCCTATGATAGCACACACCAACTGTTCGACACCACAAGTCCCTACTAGGTCATTCACGCTCCGGTGTTTGAGGCCTTGTGCTCAGACCTCAGAACCATCCACGAAGCCCTAAGGATCCTCTTTATCCAAGCACATCGTCCTCACTAACGTTATTGCCTCTACTGACCTTCATTCTCCAAGTAGTTCCCACTATGTGTCCAATGCCAAGTCATGGATGCATTATGTGGGTTCCAGCACCAGTAAGGAAGTCATCCATGGTGCTGACTTTACCTACAGCTACATCCCCCTACTATAGTGACACTATCCCACCTATCCAGCATGGTCAGACCACTGTAACTTCCCTCTTCTCAAATCAGCAAGCCTGGCTGAGGAGACTTGCAAGCCATATGTTGTCCTACACATCGTGGGTACAAGGCCTCCCACGAAGGATGTACCATGAAGTAGCTCGCGCCATTCCCTAGGATCCACACAACCATGTGAAAGATCTCTCTCTTTGTTTCTCTTTCCCTTGTAACCCTGCTCCATCGGTTATATAAAGGGCAACATGGGGCCCTTCTTTTCTCTATCTTGACTCTCTCGATTTTTCTTAGAGGCACTCTCCCTCTCTCTTTCTCCCCCAGTTTGTAAACCCTACTACAAACATCGAGCCTCATGCTTAGGAATACGATCAAACATCCCCACTGGATGTAGGGCACATTGCCTGAACCAATATAAATCTGGAGTCTCTAAATGCTAGGCCCTGTGAAGCCCACACATGACGTTAAATTTACTAGTTGATACAGGACCCTAGTACAAAATGTCGACACGTTGCTTATCTTCTAGATTTATCTCTCGCCCATCTCGCCCCCACAATAAAATATGATAAGACACCAATGCAATCATACCAGCACTAAAGCAACATATCCCATCATTCGCTCTCGCTCTCGCTCCCCACTTCGCTATTGAAACTTTGGTGACCCACCGTTCAAGACTTTGGTCAAGTTATGGAGGGGGATTTTTTGCCAACTTCGGCGTCATCGATTATGCCTTCGTCAACATTTTGGCAAGGGTCTTCTACTTTGACATCATTGGCTACACACCTTCGTCAACACTTCAGCAAGGGGGCTTCGCCATCAGCTTCACCGTAGTCAACACCACCTTCACCGTCAATTGGAGTGAGGGGGATCTCCACCTATGACATTTGTGACATCAACCACTCCTACGACGTCATCTACTTCAAGCATGCGAAAGAATTTCTCACAAGCGCCAACCAAGAGGGGCTCACGAAGAGCACATTGGACAAGCAATCCGCTCGATGACAAAAGCCTTGCTTGGCGCCCGTGAGTGAAAGCTTGAAGACATGTCGTGATCATCTACAACTACCTCGCCTACGTCGACTTCTTCGCCTACCTCGACTACATCTATGTCTTTGACGGAGGCTCAGTTATGAAAAGAAGGTATCAAGGGATCAAGGCCATACGAAGGAGCAAGCTGCCAAAGACACAGTCACGAAGGTTCGAGCGAAGGTTGACACTGAAGACTAGCTAATTATAAGGTCATCCATAGAATATCTCTGTATAGATGAGAGTTGTGTGTCGGGACTGAGTTGCAATTGGGCCATAGTTAGTTGTATTCAGCTATTGGGTCTTGTACTTTTGATCAAAACTGAATAGCTGAGGGGCCACTGTTGAAGGTGAGTTATATGTTAGGGACCCCCATTAGTATTTTACAGAAGGCCCAATTGCATAGCTTGGGGCTTGTAAGATACTTCATCCATTCCAAATTATAAGACGTTTTGGCTTTTCTACATACACTTCTTTTACTATATGTCTAAACATAGTGTATATCTAAGTGCATAGCAAAAGTTATGTATCTAAAAATGCCAAAACGTCTTATAATTTAAAACAGAGGGAGTAATATTTAAGGCCCATTTGTAGCCCCTATAGGTTCTTTTGTAAAATACAAGCCCCACCAGAGGAAATAATGAAAACCTCCCCTCCCACCTTTCCTATAAAAGTGGGAGAGGGGGAAGGTGGAGAAGGAGCTGGCTCCCTCATTCATTTGGCCCACTATTCACGTGCTCTTACCTCTTGCCCTCTCCTCTCTTCTCTCTTGCTTGGTGTTGAACACCAACAGAGATGTAAGTAGATAAACTATGGTATGTGATTCCAGAGCTGGTTAAGCATATGAGTACTGTGAATTAAAAGCAGAGTATATAGCTCTAGTACATGACAGAGCAAAGCAGGAACCTAGTATATGTGATTCCACAGCTGGCCAAGCATATGAGTACAGTGAATTAAAAGCAGAGTATATGGCTCCAGTACATGACAAAGCAAAGCAGGAACCTAGTGGACTGAGCAGATAACCATACCCATTTTGTTATTGCAACCAGTACCATCACTAATTCACGTTTATCACCAGCAAAACTTTGCAAAAGCTGAAGCCATGCTTTCTCGAGAGCATTTGAGCATCTATGTCCTACAAGGGCAAAACTTTAAGT